AGGGGCAGAGAGAGAGGGAGAGACAGAATCCGAAGCAGCCTCCAGGCCATCAGCGCAGAGCCCGACGCAAGGCTCAAATCCACAAACCCTGAGATCATGCCCTGAGCCGAAATCGAGTTGGACGCTTAACCGACGAGCCACCCAAGCACCCCTGGTCAGTGACCTTGTTGATTGAGTCTCTGTGATGAGCCAGCCCTTCCTCCACCAAGGCGGATGCTAGCCCCAGGGGACGCGGCTCCTGGGCGTTGGACAGTCACGGTCCAGTAGAGTTAACGCAAAAGAGAGAGATGTACGGGCGTGGCATTGGGAGGGACAGTGCACGTGTAGCTGTGTATGTCGTGGGCGTAACAAGTGGAGCACATGAGTCCACAATGGCCCTGCCCGGCTGACCACCACCTTCTTCTAGCCTTCTCTGTCTTCCTCCCATCATCCCTCTGAACCAACCCCACTCCGTTCCTTTGTTCTGGAAATGCCACTGCGCCCACAGCCCTTCCAAGGGAACCCCGTCCACCCGCGAGCACCATGCTGGCGTAAGACAAACATTCCTTGATGACTGGCCAGCAGAGGCCCCCTGGCCCGTGGGCTGGCCAGTGACTCCCACTGGGGCCTGGACGGCAGGGATCTGTTTTCTGGAAGTTCAGCTAAGAAGGGCCGAGAGATCAAAGTCAAGGTAGGGAAGTTCTAGAAAGGTCGAGTTGGAAAGAGGTCAGGCAGCCATAACGGGCCTTGAGGAAGTCAGGTCTTGAGTGACAGGAGGGTGGGTAGCCATGATGGAAGGCGGGCTAAGGTGGTGGTAGGGGCAGAGGTGACCCAGCCCCAGGCCAGGCCCGGCCCAAACGCTGACCCTTGCCGGTCGCGTGTCAGGAGGCAAGAAGGCGGAAAAGGACGCTTACGGAGCCCAGAAAGCATAGTACCGAAGGTTCACTGGTGTTCGCCTGCTCTTTCCGAGAGAGGCTGGCTGTCTGTTCTGGGCTCGACCTCCCCCTGGGACGCCACGTCTGGGGTTCTGTCCACCCGGCCGCCGTCTTCGGCGTTGTGGGGATCCCTGCTTTCAAGAGTCACAGCTTCTAGGGGGGAGAAGAGCTTCGAGACGTTGGCGCTGAGGGAGGAAGCCGGGTCCGGAGGGAACTCCCTTCTGGGCTCCGCGCCTTCGGAGAGGGGTCCTGGGGAAGACAGAAACTGTGGCCAAAGGGACACCCGGGCCCCCTCACCTCAAATAACCGGAGCGATCTGGCTCGCTGGGGACCAGGGCACTGCCCGCCCCTCCCCGGGTTTCACTGTTGGTTTGTTCACAGTGCCACCATCTTTCTTGCTTTGTGAGCTGTCTCCGGTCCTTCCTGGACTATTTATCTGGTTTGCTCATGGCTGGAAGTCCAGGTGAGCGAGCGTTTCAGAGCGGGGACAGGGGCGGAACTGCTGAATGAGGGAGTGAGTTGCTTCTTCCTAACGCTGGAAAGACGGAAGAAGCTTTCAGGCGGCTGCAGCATCATTTCTTGGAAAGACCCAGTGGTCTGAGCGACCGAGGAGTGCCGCACAGAGGAGGGGTCGTCTTCCAGAAGGCTCCGAGGAGGGCCAGCTTCACAGCCACGTGGCCTGGGCCTGTGTTCAGAGGGACCCTGTGCTCACTCAGTTTAAAGCTCCATTGTGTCTTGGGGCACCCGGGTGGCTCCGTCGGTGGAGCGTCCGACTTCGGCTCAGGTCACGATCTCGCGGTCCGTGGGTTCGAGCCCCGCGTCAGGCTCTGTGCTGATGGCTCAGAGCCTGGAGCCTGTTTCCGATTCTGTGTCTCCCTCTCTCTCTGCCCCTCCCCCGTTCGTGCTCTGTCTCTCTCTCTCAAAATAAATAAAGATTAAAAAAAATAAAAAAAAAAAGCTCCATTGTGTCTTGAGATTCAGACGTTGAACAAGGAGCTTCACTTTTCCACGTCGCACCGGGGCCCCCAGATCATGTCACCCATCCGGGCGTCACAGCAGCGAGCCGGGCAGGCGGGCAGCCGAGAGCCCACCACGCCCCTGCTGACGGCCCATGCAGGCGCCTCAGCTCACAGACACCCCAAAGAGGGCGCCACAGTCCACGGCACTGATGGTCTGTGATTAACCATCCCCCAACCCCCCAAGAAAAGGAAAACCTGCTAGACGTTACACTTCTCAGGACGGGATCCTGCCCGTCACCTGACAAGTTAGACCTTCTTCAGGCCAGTGAGGAAGGTGGGTAGGGGTGCAGAGTGAATAAGGCCTCGTCAGTGCCACTGCTTAGCCCTTGGGGAGGGACAAAATTTTTCAAACACGGAGGGCTGAATTTCCTTCCATCGAGAGGGTCTTGGCCAGTCCTAAGACCACGTGGGGGTGGTCCACGACCCCTGGGGCTCCTGTGTGCCTCTGTGGAGGTTTCTGGGAAGTGAGGAAGAGGGTGCCCTCTCCCTACTGACTCCCCTCCCTGTTGGGAGCTCAAGGTCCCGGCCATCAGGATGGCAGGACCCTCTTGCATCCAGCACAGATGCCCCCCGGGCAGGTGGATGCCG